AGAATAGAATAGAATAGAATAGAATAGAATAGAATAGAATAGAATAGAATAGAATAGAATAGAATAGAATAGAATAGAATAGAATTCTTTATTGACCAAGTGTGAATGGACTAACAAGGAATTTGACTTTGGTGCAAATGCTCTCAGCATATATAAAAGAAAAGATACATTCGTCAAGAGTCAAGAATCATCAGGTACAACACTTAATGATAGTCATAGGGTACAATAAGCAATCAAATCATACTATTATGAGGAAATAGATCCATCTTTAACTATAAATAATTAATTAATAGATTAGATGATAGAAAGATATGGATGGATGGATGGATAGATAGATAGATAGATTAATTGATTAAAAAAACCAGATGATTGATTTACTTAGGAAATGTTGACCATGTGCATACGAAGTTCTTGAGATGCTCAGTAGAGGTTCTAGTTTGTAAATTATGATTTATAAGTCATCACAATGCGAACAGTAACCTGGCTAAGCAAGGCGTGTGGTTTAATCACATTAGAAAACCACAGTTCAAAGAATGAATCATGCTACAGGCTCAGCCTGGCTTGGAAACTGCTGCTGTGTCTGACCACTTTGTCTTTGGGTGATTTATGACATGGGTTTCAACCTTCTGAAAGAAATGCCGCTGCTTTTTATTTTTCTTTCTTTTTTTTTTTTTTTAAAAAAATCCTCCCAGTGCAACATCTCAACTGTGATCGAGCAGCTTCGTCCGCAAAAGTTTTTCACCTGCTCCTCTGCAGACACAGCGCCGACCTGTGGAACATCGGCATCAGCTTGTTTATCCAGGACGGCCCTTTCCTTGTGGTGCGCCTGATCCTGATGGGCCACTTTCGAGTGGTGAACCAGATGCTCGTGTTTTTTGCAGCCAAGAATATTTTGATCGTGTTGCTGCAGCTGTACCGTCTGGTGGTGCTATCGCTCGACTTCCACGCCTCCCTCCAGCGCAGGGCAAAAAGCCAGAAAGGAGCCACTTCCAGTTGCCCCTGTGAGCCCAGCTCCATCCGCCTCCCATCCAATGGCCTGCTGGATGGAGGCGACTTGACTGAGTGCTTGTGAGGGAAGGTCTCTTCTGCCCCAGGACCATCCCTTCCCTCTGGGGGCCACGTTTGAATGGGCTGGCCTTGCTTGTCCACTGCAAGACAGGGGTCCCACCCTAGCAGCAAAGGGGAGATATTTGAGACAGGATTGATTGGGTGGATTGACTGACACGGTATCCACCGTATGTATCCATTGTATATTTGATGGGAGTCAGCAAGGTGGGTTTTTTTTTGGTTGGCTCTTTTGTTTGTTTCTTTGTTTTAATGTGTGACATTTGGGGACTTCCTGATTGCCTTCAGAGCCCTGCCATAGCAGAATCTTTACCTGAAATTCAGGTCTACGTCTGGAGCGTAATGCACGTCCCCTTGGCCTTCTAGCCTGAGAATTCAACTTTGACAAAGATACAGCAGTTCAAATAAACGGAGAGAGCCATTTCCTGCTTCCTGTCCATCCCAGACACATGAATGTATTCAGGGAATGCAACAATAGGGTGAGGATGGCATGGCTCGGCACAGAAGGATTTCAGAGCCTCTTGTATTGCTATAGTTTGTTCTGGTGATTACAGGCCATTTTCCTCCTGGTTCTGTTTTATTTTACGCCACCATCAAGTTCGCCCTCGTCTACCCTGTTTACATTGCCTCTTTCCCACAGACCAATGGGCCCTCTTCCACTCATCCAGGGATTTTTCTGGGGAGGGAGGGAAGAAAAATCCAGGTGAGCGTGGCCTGTCTCTTAGAGGACATGATTGGGAGAGATACTCATGTTCTGCCAACCAAGATGTTACCATCAGGAATAGATTTTGAGGAAAGTTCTGGTGGTTGATTCTCTTACTCTGCCATGAATTTTGCCTTTCTTCGTCTTCTAAGCAATAACACCCGCCAGGACAGTTTCTGTTTGGAATAGTTTCAGCCCTTGAAATGAAATATTGTATTAGCTTATCAAAGACTGGCCTGCATAAAATAACTTGGTTATTATTTGCAGGGAAAGGTGTGTTCCAAGTCTTGTTATTGCTGAATTCAGTTTTGATATAGTATATGAGGCCATTCCTTCTCCTTTATTTCCGAATGTTGATACCTTTGGTTACTGGGAGCACAATTCTTAATGCGAAAAAGAGGAGATATTTTTTAATAAACCAGGAGATTTGTATTTGCTTGGGAAATGTTTATCTGGCAGTGTCTTTGGTGATCTTTCTGCTCCCTCCCCCTTATCTTCATGGCTGCTTCCCCTCCACTAACTTACCTCTGATTTGAGGGGGGGGGGGGAGAACAGCTGACCTTAAGAGAAGAGGAGAGAAGCTGTCGTGACCTCAGAACTTGATGGCTCCCACCCTCCTCTTCCTCTATTTTCAGCAGTTGGGGCCCCAGCAACCAACCCATTCATGCGTAGCTCTGGTCTCTTCCAGAGTGCTGTGATAATGTCATTCACGATGTGCACCAATTTTGCCCTTTCTCTTAGCCTCTCATGCCCTGGTTGCATGGATTACTGCAATGCGCTTTGCATGGGGCTACCCTTTAAAAGCATCTGGAAGCCACATCTGGCACAGAATACTTGGATTGGTGGGATGCGTCCCTCTCCAAAAGTAATGGTGTGTCCCCGGAAGAGGCCAGGCCCAGGTCCTGAAGGCAGGAAGAGGCGACGTGGACATGCAACAGGTGCTATGGCAGCATCTCCCACTCTCGTGGGGTGCTGGGCAGAGGTGGGCATTCAGCAGGTTCTGACCGGTTCTGGAGAACCGGTAGCAGAAATTTTGAGTAGTACAGAGAACCAGCCAATCCCACCTCTGACTAGTGGGATCTAACCCCATCTATTCTCTGCCTCCCATTGAGTCCCAGCTGATCGGCTGGGTCTCCTTTGGTTGCCCTGAACAGGAGAACGGAGCTGGAAAGCAGGTTAGTGGGGAGGGGAGGGAATGGGGATTTTGCAGTATCCTTCGCCTGCAACGCCCACAGAACCAGTAGTAAAAATTTTTGATTCCCACCACAGGTGCTGGGGGAAAGGGCAATCAGATGCATAAAATCATTGAATCCAGGTCAGCCACAGGGCTTTCCAGGGAACATGATTAAAGATGGCATTCAAATCAGTGGTGGGATTCAAATTTTTTTTACTACCCATTCTATGGGCGTGGCTTGGTGGGACTGGCAGGGGAAGGATACTGTAAATCTCCAGTCAGAGGTGGGATTTGCCGGTTCTCTGAACTACTCAAAATGTCCGCTACCGGTTCTCCAGAACTGGTCAGAACCTGCTGAATCCCACCTCTGGAAATATCCTCAAATTAAATTGCAAGGCCCAAAATAACATTTGGGCCTGGAATCATATCACTGGCCAGTGGTGGGATTCAATTTTTTTTTTTTACTCCTGGTTCTGTGGGCGTAGCTTGGTGGGCATGGTAGGGGAAAGTTACTGCAAAATCTCCATTCCCTCCCCACCCCACTAACCTGCTTTCCAGCTCCATTCTCCTGTGCAGAGCAACCAAAGAAGACCCAGCCGATCAGCTGGGACTCAATGGGAGGCAGTCAGAGGTGATATTTGCCGGTTCTCCGAACTACTCAAAATTTCCGCTACCAGTTCTGCAGAACTGGTCAGAACCTGCTGAATATACCACCTCTGGTTCAAATCCATGGCCTAGGCCAGGGGTGTCCAACCTTGACAACTTTAAGACTTGTGGACTTCAACTCCCAGCTTTGCTGGCTGAGGAATTCTGGGAGTTGAAGTCCACAAGTCTTAAAGTTGCCAAGGTTGGACACCCCTGGCCTAGGCCTTCATTTTAGTGCTGAGTGAGGAAAATGCAATCAACAACAGAACAGAGTTTCCTGAAGAAACACACAAAGGGAGCTTTCTAGACTTCAGCTTGTTTTACGGTCTCATCAAATTTTAAAACCAGAAGACCGAAATTGTCCCTCTAGGTGGGGAGAACAGGCAGAGGAAAGAGGGTGGCCTGGAGGAGAGCCTCTGGCCATTTGCCAGAAATGACTGCGCCCGGCTCGGGGGTGTGTGTGTGTGAATTTTTATCCACCTAGTCAACAAGAAATGAGTCGTTACTATGGCAATTCTGACATTGTGAGTGTCGCGTTGCTGTGCAGTGCAACAACCCAAGCCAGCTCTGCTTTCTACATGTGAGGCCCTGCTGTGTAGGTGATGGGGAACTATGGGGAGATGGGCCAAGGGTGGGGTGATAAAGGCCAACAGGGGAATAGCTTCACAGGGTTTCCTCAGGCCAGGCATGATTTAATAAGTGAGCCATTTTGTTAATAGGTTGGGGTGTGGTTTTTGAAAGCAGCTTGGGCCCGGATGTGTTTTGTGCTTGCTGACAATAGCCCCCAAGTCTCACCAAATTAGCCCCCGAGTTTCCACCTTCACCACAAAGGGAATCACAGTCCTGTGGGCCAAGGAAGACGGCTGGTTTCGTGGCCACTGAACTGTGGGACGACCCTGTGATCTGACATATAGATATATTTTTTATTAATCTTACGAAATGTGGGGGCTGCTTGACTCCAAAAGCTTGCACTCAAAATAGAAAGCAATGAAAAAGAAAATGCCATGTCTGGCACGGATGGGTTTGGGCGGACCCATCGCTAACATTATGGCTGGTTCGGTGAACCAGCAAATCCCACCCCGGCTGCCCTGCCCCTCCCGCCCCCTCCCACCCCTCCCGGGAGTCTCCATGCAGGTAAGGGCAGGGCCCGCGCAGAGGTTTGGGGAGGGGGAAAAACGGGCCACATTTCCAGCCTCTGGAGGGTCTCTGGAGCCTGAGGGAGGCTGTTTTCGTCATCCCAAAGGCTGGAGGAAAGCCTCTGGGGCCTGGGGAAGGCGAAAAACGGGCCTCCCAGATGTACTGGAAGGCTGAAAAGAGGCCTGTTTCCGACTTCCAGGGAGCCTCCGGAGCCCGGGGGAGGCTGTTTTCACTGTCCCAGAGGCTTGAAGAAAGCCTCCGGAGCCTGGGGAAGGTGAAAAATGGGCCTCCCGGAAGTTCCGGTAGGGCACCCCCACCCAGCAACCGGGCAGGCAACCTGTGGCTGGGATTTTTGAAGCCCACCCCCGGTCTCCCTACAACAGAAAACACAACCAAGGCAGCTTCTCAACCAGCATCCTTCCTGCCCTTGACATGGAGAGGAACACTTTGATCTGAAAGACTTCTGGAAGATCCTCAGGCTGGGAGTCATGCAGAAGACACAACTGGATTGGGCTGTTTCTATTCTTGGTTTGATTGTGGTTAGATTGGATACTGTAAGTTGCATGCTGTGCCTCCATTGTCCGCTCTGATTCAACCAGTACAGGAATGCAATGCAATGCGTGAATGAATGAATGAACGAATCCCACCAGGAAGGGGCCGAGAGGGGCAGGGAGGGGACATTGTTTCTGAGGAATCCAAAGGAAAAGATATTACCAGTTGGACCTTCCAAGTATGGCACTGGGACAGACTGAAGAGGTCAATGGTGCGAAACCATCCTTTTCTTTTGTTCTCTCTGCATCGGCGGGGGGGGGGGGGGGGGGGGGGGGGGAGACGACATTTGAGCAAAGCTGAGGCAGTAATAAATTATGCTGCACTTCTAGTAAATCTAAAAGGGTGGTGGTGGATTATATGAAGTGATAACAAAAACAGTACATGTGCCTGCCTTACAGAATTATTTGAAATAAGCCCCAAGGCTTTGAAATGCTACCAGACCTGCGAGATAAAAAGCCAGAAGTATGAATATGAAACAGAAATAGATGCAGTAAACTGCAGAGATTAAAAAGAAGAAAGAGGCGACAGCAGTATGTATCACATTTAGGGGGCAAATCATGGACTAATAAACCACAGGGTTCCCTTGGCAAACACTACGTGTATTTTATGCCAACTACAATAAAGGAACTTCAGAAGAACTGGGGACACTGGTGAACCTGAGACTTTATTCTCATTTTTGTTTAGTCACTTAATTAATGCAGCACTTAAAATAGATGGAGCACTTTATGTGTTGCAATGAACACGCACAAATCACCATTCAGAGATTTGCAGGCTAAGCATCTGGTGGGCCACTAAA